GTCCCCCTTCGCTGGCCGGTTTGTGTGGGTGGCGTGGTTTTCGGGTCGGGAGCTTGTGCGTGGCGTGGTTTTGGGGGTCAGGGGCTTGTGGGTGGCGTGGTTTTGGGGGTCGGGAGCGTGTGGGTGGCGTGGTTTTCGGGGTCAGGAGCTCGCGGGGGCGTGGTTTTGGGGGTCGGGAGCGTGTGGGTGGCGTGGTTTTCGGGGTCAGGAGCTCGCGGGTGGTGTGGTTTTCGGGTTGGGAGCGTGTGGGTGGCGTGGTTTTCGGGGTCGGGAGCGTGTGGGTGGCGTGGTTTTGGGGGTCGGGAGCCTGTGGGTGGCGTGGTTTTCGGGTCGGGAGCTTGCGCGTGGCGTGGTTTTGGGAGTCGGGAGCGTGTGGGTGGCAGCTGCCAGCTTCCCCACACCAGCCCTGGCTGCCGTCCTGCCTGGTCTCTCCGACAGGACATGCTGAAGCACACGCCCCGGGGACACGCGGACAGGCTGCCCCTGCAGATGGCGCTGGCGGAGCTGCAGACGCTGGCGGAGAAGCTGCAGGAGCGGAAGCGTGATGCCGACCAGCGCTGTGAGGTCAAGCTGATGGCGAAGGCCATGAACGAGCGCTACCTGAACAAGGTCCCCGCGCGTTCCCCGCCGCTGCCGAAGCCGCTTCCGCCCTCACTAACAGGCAGTCGGCCGCCGTTCACCACTAACCTCTGCGCCTTCGGAGTAGCCCCCCGGGCCCAGGTCCCTAGTGGGCAGCGGATGGAGAGCCTGGGGCGGGTCGGCCGCGCCGGACGCTGCGAGCTACAGGCTTGTGGTCCCTGTGGCCCCGGCCCGGAAGGGCAGAGCTGCTCCTGCCGCAGAGGTTCGTGCAGCCTCCCCCGCCAGGCACAGTGACAGCGTGAAGGGCACCTGTGCGCTCGTCTGCACCTGTGCGCGGGGGCTGAGCCGTACGTACCGTGAAAGGTGATGCAGGATTCAGGGTGAAGCTGTGTCTCAGCCTCACGTTTCCCAGACCCTGTTCCCGCTGCAGGGGCTGGGACGATTTCACCGCGCTCTTCCCCACGTGGCAGGAAGAGCTTGATCGACGTGAGCCGCGTTAAGCAGTTAGCGTAACATGCGATGTCGCCAACCTCTCCTTTTGTTTGTCAGTAGGCTTAATTTCCTGCTGTACAGCGACAAACTCAGTATTTTAAGTGTAAGACCTTCGTTGTAATGCATTTTAAGCAACAGGCTTCTTTCCGATTCTCCAGATGATTCATGAGCAGAAAATGGCACGAGGCGGTGGTTTAGCCACGCTTCCTGTGGCGCTCGCGTGTTGGGGCGCGTGTGGTGCGGGGCGCTTGGAGGCACGCGGGCGGGCGGGAAAGCGAGCGTGGCCAGACGGTGTTAGAACCGGCGGGCAGCAGAGGCCATCCGGGCGTTTCTGCCCGGTTCTGGGTTTCCTGGTGGCTGACCTGTCAGGACAAGTGTGAGTCCTTCACGCCCGAGCCATTTTCCTCGTGAGACAAAGCGCCTCTCCAGAGCGCGGAGGGCGTGCCGTGCCGCGGGCTCCGTGACTGAAACACGGCTCGCGAGAGGCTGCGGTGGCCGCCTGACTGTGCCTCCCCGTGGGAAACGTGGCTGCGAAGCACAGGCAGCCGCTCCCGGTCGGGGTGGGTACCAGAGGCAGAGCGGCTGGCCGGCTGCAGGGCGAGTCTGGGAGGGAGGGAGCGTTTGTCCCGGGAAGTCGCTTAGGGGCACTGACGGGTGGCAGCAAGAGAAGCCTCATTTGTGGAGTCGTTGCCTCTTAGCTGCCAGCGCGTTCAGACGGGACTTAGATCCCTTTCACCCTTTAGAATAACAAACTGTGACACTGGGTGAAGCCGCTTTCTGAGCTGCTCAGACGGGGGGCGTGGGGGCTCCCGCTGAGGAAGTGTCTGAGGCTGACGCTGGGCCCCGCCTCGCACGCCTGTCTCTCCCGCCCCCTTCCTGGCGGACGCGGTCGTGGGCACCGCGTCACGTGTGGCTGTGACTTCAGCTCCTCAGCAGCGGAGACCGACACCTCATCCGGTCCGACGACATGATAGAGACCGTCTACAACGACAGGGGGGAGGTCGTCAAAACCAAGGAGCGCCGGCTCTTCATGTTAAGTGACGTGCTGATGTGTGCCACCGCCACCGCCCGGTAAGGAGGGCGCCGTCCCCCGCTTGGCCGAGTGGCCGTGTCCCCGTCCCTGTCCCCGTGCACCCGGTGAGGGGTGCGCTGTCCCCCACTTGGCCGAGTGGCCGTGTCCTTGTCCCCGTGCACCCGGTGAGGGGTGCGCCGTCCCCCGCTTGGCCGAGTGGCCATGTCCCCGTCCCTGTCCCCGTGCACCTGGTGAGGGCGCCGTCCCCTGCTTGGCTGAGTGGCCGTGTCCCCGTGTGTGGCTCCGATGAGCCAGCGACTTCCCTGAGTCTCATTGAGACGGCCGCCCTGGGCGTGCAGAGCTCACTCGGGGGTCCTGGGGCCCGGGGACGCCCGCGCGCTCTCACGGGCTCGTCCTGAGAGGGCCGTGTGTCCAGGTCCCCGCCAGCAGAAACCAGGGCCGTAGACGCGCTTTCTCCCTAAACGCGAGGCCAGTGCTGCAGCCGCTTCAGGCCGGGTCCCCTTCTGGTCCCCGTTGGGACTTCTCCAGCTGCTGCTCTGCACGGGCGTCTCTGGCGAAGGCTTCCCCTCCGTGATGAAACTGGGTTCACCCACGTGCGGTGTGAAGCAGGGACGTGGGTGACACGCGGTCGGCTCCTGCTTCACACCGTGTTACGTCAGAGCTGTTTGTGCCCCACGCGTGGGACGTTGAGTTGGCGGAGGGAGTCGGAGCCGGTGAAAGGTCGTCCGGTGAAGGTGGACAGACCGTGGGGGAATCGGTCGGAGCCGCAGCAGTGCCCGCGGCGTGACCGGAGCGGCAGCCGCGGAGCTGTCCAGGAGCCACGCGCAGTGGCCGTTGAGGGGCAGCGGCGTTTTCAGGAGCTTTGGGAGCTTGAAACCGTCCACAGCGTTTGCACCACGAGGGGGGGGGAAGCGGGGCGCCCCGGCTCCCAGGGGGTCAAGGGTTCCTGCTGCAGTGCAGCCTCCTGCGTGTCCCTCCTTCTTCCTGCGTTTGACTGTGTGTGGGTGTCGTGAAGGAGGGAGGGTGGGTGCTCCGGGAGCGGGGTCCCGGGCAGGTGCTGGGCGCACAGGTGTTTGTCCTGTCGTCTGAGTGGAGCGCGTCACGCTGCTCGTGAGCAGGGCAGGGCGCTGTGGCACGGGCTTCCGGCGTCTCTCCCCGGAACATCGAAGGCAGACCCCCAAACCCCGGGCCGCGCAGCAGGAGGGGAGCGAGGGGGAGCCGGCGAAGCTCCGTCTGTGTGTGCAGCCGCTCCCCTGCGCCGGCATCACCGCCTCAGCCCCCCTCAGATCGTCAGGCGTCGGATGCTCACAGGAGCCCCCGTCCCCAGTGCCGTGAAGGCTGGGGGCCGCCGGTGTAAGGGATGGAAAGGGCCACGACTTCTCCGCCTGCCGTGACTAAGTGACGATCTCTTGGTGGTCTGTTCCAGCCCCGCACACGACAGCAACGCTCTGGTGTCGGCCGGCAGCCAGCGGTACCTGCTGAAGTGGAGTGTCCCCCTCGGACACGTGGAGGTGCTGGAATACGGCGGGGATGAGGCTGCAGGGGAACACAGCACGGGGCCCACGGCGCATTCCCCCGAGAGCCTGGCCGTGGTGGCCAACGCGAAGCCGCGTAAGTGACGCGTGTCGATGTGCGTGCCGTCGCGGGGCCAGCCTCTCGCAGTGTGAGCAGCCGCGGCACAACGGTGACCGTGGGCTGCGGGACGTGGCTGGCCTGCCAGGTGGGGGGCTGGTCTTGGAATACGGCGGTGACGAGGCTGCAGGGGAACACAGCACGGGGCCCACGGCGCATTCCCCCGCGAGCCTGGCCGTGGTGGCCAACGCGAAGCCGCGTAAGTGACGCGTGTCGATGTGCGTGCCGTCGCGGGGCCAGCCTCTCGCAGTGTGAGCAGCCGCGGCACAGCGGTGACCGAGGGCTGCGGGACGTGGCTGGCCTGCCAGGCTGGGGGCTGGTCTTTGGCGTGTCCTGCGGGGTGGGGGGACGTTCCCTGGGCTCGGAGCGAGGTGCCCCACACGGGCGTGGGCCCCGGCTCCCCAGTCTGCGTCACATTCTGCACCCCCCGTGCACCCGTGGGACTCAGCCTCCCATGTGTGCAGTGCTCCGGTGCCCAGGGGCCTGGAGGGTGGGCCTGGCCGCAGGTCCGCTCGGCCACAGGCCACCCACGACACCCCTGCCCCCGTCCCCATGGGGGTGGCACTTGGGTGCCCATGAGGTGAAGTCAGAGGGGCGTCAGACACCTAGGAAATGCTTTAGCAGTCGCCTGTGTCGATTCGTTACTTCTAAGGGGTCTTCAGACCACAAACTCGGAACCGGGTGCGGTGTCCCTGCTCCCTCCTTCTCTGTCCCTCTTCCAATCCTGCCAGGGCTGGCTAAGTCCCTTCACCGGCCTCCGAGCCCATGTCGCGGGCGGAGCGGCCAGGTCTGAGACGGGAACGTTCACACTCGCACTCGGCAGTCGTCCAGGTCGTGTGTCCCGACACGCTCGGAAGGAACCTCGTGAGACCGTCCACGTCTCTGGCTGAGCACGCATGCTCGCGGGAGCTGCCGAGCACGGTGCAGTGGCTGCCGGTCCCGGGGGCTCCGGACCGTGTCCCCAGAGGCGGCGGTCCCCAGGCGGCCACGTGTGGTCCTCACGCTCTGGGATTGCCGGCTCCGCAGGCCCGCTCCGGTATAGCGTGCACAGTCTCAGCTCGCGATCAAAATGCCGGACTGTGTCACGGATTTCAGAAGGGGGGACACACTCAGGAGTGGGGTGCAGAGGCGAAGAGAGCAGGCGCGGAGGGAGAAAGGGTTTTCCAAGTGGACACGTGTCATTAAAACGAATGTGTCGTTTGTTCAAAGTTCTTAAAAATCCACTTAAATGATTTGGCGGTGTTGATTGCAAGTCATATTTATGTCTTGGTTTTGTGCATTAAGAAGACGCCTTTGCATTTCGTGACGGTGGCAGAGTCTCCAACGCGTCTGAGTGGGGTCGCCTCATCGCGTTCGCACCTCCAGGGGCGGCCTTGACCCACGAAGTAGATGCTGCGCTGCGGGCGAACCACGTTTCTCATTCACTTTCGTAGTTGTGGCCTATGCTGAGCTAACTTAAGAAGCGAATCGGTTAGCGATGTTAAGAAGTTAAAAGCAGGATGACTCAGTTTATAAAAATATTTTGTGGGACGCGGAACCGGGAGCGCGGTAGCCGCCTCGTTGGTGCCGGGCGTGGCCGCGAGGTTTCCGAGAGCTGAGCGGACGGAGATCCGGACGCGTCATCGTCAGTCAGTGAAAACGCGTCATTTTGGCGAGTGAATCTTTTTATTCATCCTGAATTTACGGAGAACTCTGTTGTCCTGTTGTGCGTTGAGAGGACTTTGCGAAATGCTTGAAAACATGAGACTGCCCTGCGCAGACTTGCCGCGGGTTCGTCCCGCCGTGGTTCTCGAAGGCGGAAGGACGCGACCTCAGAGCAGCAGGTGTTCGGGGGGCGCCGCTCGGCGCCCGTTTGTTTTCCGTGTCATCGCGTGTGATGCATTGTGTCGTGGACACGCCGCCGTCAGTCGGCCTGGACCGTTCACCTCGCCGCGGTGTCTGGAGCTCGGGAGCTCGGCGGCGAGGCTTCCGGCACGGTCTCCGGTGTCCGCACACCGTCTGGACGGAGAGTCGAAGCGAAAAGCCCGCGTTCGGGGGAGATCTGTCCCGCTTCGTTTTCTGGGGGGGTCGTAGCTTGGGCTTAGGGTATCTGATCTCCGCTCTTTATTTCGTGGCGGTGGGTGTGCTGCCTTCCCGCACGAGCTGTCACCGCGATGGCTTCGTGTCAGAAACTGGGACACTGCCAGCAGCGGCTGCGTGAGGGACGGGACCTGGGCCAGCACGCGTGGCGTCCCAGCCGGGCGTGCGCGAGCTGCTCAGTGAACATTTGCGAGCGAATGAAAAGGAAAATGGAACCCTCGGTCACCGTTACGTTTCTAATGCGCGCCATCCTCCCGCCTGTGTGTTTATCGACGGCCTGAGTGACGCCGAGCACGCCGTCCGGTGACCCCGCACGAGGAGCTTCGCGCAGGGCCGCTGCAGCTCGGAGTCGGGGACGGGCGTTGGACACGCGGACGTCACGGCGGGCACGCTCCCTGGCGCGCATGCAGCCCGTGCTCTGGGAGTTCGAAAGAGGTTTCTCAGCGACGGTGCCTTTTAAGGGAGCTATTCCAGAGCGCGCGCGGCCGCACCCGACACATGCCCTGGGAACAGAGCGGGGCCACGTGTGACGAGCGCCTCCCGAGCCTGTGGCCGTCCGTCCCACGGGAGAGTAAACAGAAGGCGTCTGGGTCCTTCTGGGTCCTGCAGGCGGCGGGGACAGCGGAGGGCTCGGCTCCGGCTACAGCGGCGGCTCCGCTGGCTCGGAGGGGCTCTGACAGGGTCCGCGTGTCCGCATCAGGCTCCCTGTCCCGAGGGGCGGCTGCTTCTCCTCCATCGTCGTCTGCTGACCCTCCTCCTGCTCTGCTGCCAGGGACATCTGTGCTCGGCGCCAGGGGACACAGCGGGGCTGAGACAGAAAGCAAGCGAGTCGCCCGTGGGTCTCTGAGCTCTTCGTCTCTTGGAATAAAGAGGAGCAGGGTGCAGGCGACAAGCTCACGTCAGCTCCGTGACGAGGGAGAACCGATGTGCCTGGTCGCCCATGGGTTGGGCCAGTGACAGAGGCTGGTGTGTCTGGACGCAGCCGTCAGGCGGGAGAGGTGTCCTTGGTGCACATGTCCCAAGGAGGCCACTGTGCTGCGCCCCGTCCCCTCCCTGCGCCCCGTCCCTTCCCTGCGCCCTGTCCCCCAGAACTCTCCGTAAGTTAGGGATCTCAGTCCTGCATCGGACGAGTTTCTAAGCTTTTTTAAAGTGTCGTGCTGGCACACAATAACTCGCCCATTTCGAGTGTTGGGTGGCTGTCACCTGGAGGGGGGACAGTGGACAAGCCCTGAGGGCTGGAGGCTGCCGCACACTGAGTCCGCAGTTTGGGGGCTGACGTGGGGCCGTGGCGCCTCACGCGCCCCGTTTGTAAAGTGGGTTCGGGCTTCACCGCAGCTGCGAAAGGAGGGTGTGGACAGAGTGGTCCTCAGAACGCTGTCTGAGAGGACGGGTTTTCTCGACAAGTTACCGTTCTGTGTGCGCCGGAGGCCGGGCCTCCTGCCGGCGCCCCCGGGGCGTGTGCTACGGGGTCTGTGGTCCCCGTGGATCAGAGGGTGTTATGAGGACAGGCGGGGTGCGGGGTGGACTCTCTTGCGACAGCCTGGACAGTGGCCCGGGTGAGGGCGGGGCCATGCGGCTCGGGGACAGTGACGGTCTTCGTGGCAAAGCCGTGGTTCTGTGGGCCGCTCAGCCTGCGGGCCACGGTCGGGCACCGGAAGTGGGCGTGTCGCTTTCAGCGTGTGACCATCTTAAAGGAGCAGATGGAGGCAAATCGGTGAAGCCGATGCCACGCTTCGATTTCTTCAGAAGGCTGCGTTCACTGAAAGTTAATAAACGCAAAGATGCGTGTCATTAGCTAAAAAGTTTTCAGTTACCATCGCGTGGCTGAGGGGGTCAAGTGGGCGAAGCGCGGCCGTGTGTGTGGCCCCGGTCGGAGGCGGGACCGAGGCGTGGCGTCAGCGGGGAGCCGAGTCCACCGTGCGGCCACGGTGACCTCCTGCCGTGACGACCGTGCTGTGCTTCTGCGAGGTCATAACGTCGGGGAGCCGGTTGGGGGGCACACGGAAGGGGGCTCTGCTAGTTTGGTAATTTTTCTCTACATTTAAAATCATTTCAAAATAAAAAGTTAGAAAAGGAGCGGGCGCTAGGCGCTGGAAGACGCCCGCCCCGCCGGAAGCCCGGCCCCGGCTCGTCTCCGCGTTTGTGCCACACGCCGGCTGGGAGTCGGGCCTGTGTCTTGCAGACCAGCTGTGCACGTGGCCGGGCCAGCTGTACCAGGACCTGCAGAGCCTGCTGCACGACCTGAACGTCATCGGGCAGATCGCACAGCTCATAGGCGACCTCCGCGGGAACTACCAGGTACCCGCCCGCTGCGTCCGGCTTCGAGTCCTCCCGTCACGTCTCGGTCGTCGGCTCGGGACGGG